GCAGGTCTCTGGTGTCTGAGTGTGAGAAAGAGCCACACTGGTTGTCCCCAGTACCCTTCTCTTAACAGGTGGGGGATTGGTCTACTGACATCCACCCCAGCCCAAGCCCTGGGTGACAGCCATCCTGGACAGCAGCCAAGCTGGGTTTAAAATTTTGTTATATACATTGTACCGCAATTTCTTTTTTAAAAGAGTATAGAGATGTACATTTCTGGCACAGGCCAGTCTCCAGGTGGAGGCTGCTAACTGCTGTCCAGTGCCCCAAGGCTTATGGGGGTTTGCAGCCGAATCTCTCCTGCAGGCTCCTGCAGGAAGCTGCTACCTCCAGCAAATGTGCAAAAGAGAAGTAGGGAGAGGAGAGGCTGGATGCGAAATCTGTGAAGCAAAACGTCCTCCCACTTCCTCTATGCTCTAATTCAGCAACCAGCATTAATTGGGCACCTACTACATACTCAACCTAGGCTTCTTTTCATTCTCCCACTCTGTTCATTCATTCATCGAACAGATATTTATTGAGAGTCTACTGAAGTGCCAGGCTCTGCTCTATGCATTATATATCGGTGAACAAAACAGAAAGGAAGCAATCCTTCCTCTCATGGGGCTTATGTTGCAGTGGGAGGAGACAAGAAACATAAAAAATAAGTTTAAGAAGTGTAAATTGCATAGTTTGTTAGAAGGTGTTAAGTGTTACGAGAAAAAATAGAACGGGGTGCAGGCGACAAGAAATCAGGTGAGGAGGGGCTTGCAGTCTAAACAGGAGTCAGGCGGGCCCACTGAGAAGGTGACTTTTTTTGATAACAGCTTTATTGAGATATAATTTACATAGTATAATCCATTTAAAATATACAACTAAATGGTTTTTAGTATATTCATAGACATGTGTGATAACGTCAATCAATTTTAGAATTTTGCTCATTCCAAACTGAAACACTGTACCCTTTAGCTGTCATTCCCCATTCCTCCCTCCCTCCAGACCTAGTCAACCAATCTACTTTTTGTCTCTATAGATTTGTCTATTCTGAACATTTCACATAAATGGAATCATACAATCTGTGGCCTTTTGTGACTGGCTTCTTTCAGGTAATGTGTTCTCAAGGTTCACCCATACTGTAGCAGGTATCAGTAAGTACTTCATTCCTTTGTATGGCCAAATAATATTCCACATTTTGTTTATCCATTCATCTGTTGATGGATACTTGGGTTGCTTCCACCTTTTGGTGATTGTGAATAGTGCTGCTATGAACATTTGAGTACAAGGAGGTGACTTGTAAGGAAAGATCTGAAGGAGATGAGTGAATTGACAATGCAGAAAAGTGTAAGGGCTCTAAGTTGGGAGCCTGTGAGGTGTGTTTGAGGAAAGGCGAGGAGGCCTCTGTGAGACAGGGTTGGGAGTGAGGTGGAGATGTAAGGGGGCAAGGGCTGAGAGAAATGGGTGGCCAAGTCAGACGAGGTGTTGGGAGCCAATATCGGGATTTGGGCTTGGACTTGAATGACTTGAGAGCCATTGGAGGGTTTTGAGCAGGGAAATGATATCACTTGTCATATGTCTAATCTGCTATTTTGCCTCAGAGGGTTCTGTGAGGTGACTGAGCAAATGAGAAAACATTGACTAGAATGGAAGAATAGAGGGAGGAAAGTGTGGAGAGCCCCTAAGAGGTCAGGAACACCCAATGAGCAGAGGAGAGGGGCCGTGATGCCTGAGAACCGTGAGGTGCAGCTTGGCTGATGCTGGGAGGAGCCAGAGGTAAGATTCTGGGCAGGAATGAGCTGGACAGGCTTCCACAATCCTGTCTACCAACAAACACTGATTTGTACTTATTCGGAGTGCTCCTCTGAGAAGCACATCCTTCTGACATCCTGAGGTGGGCAGGTGACGGGAGGTGGGCAGGTATTGTGGCACGCTCAGGAGCTCCACACCCTCTGTCATCTGCTCTCCCTCCCTCCAACTCCCACCCTGTGCCTCTGCTCACAGTAACTTGGCTTTCACCCCAGTAATTCTACTGAAACAGCTGTTTGATTACCAGAGAGCTTCTAAATTGCGTAAATACCTCCTCTTCAGCCTACCAAATCTCTCTGTTTATACCCTGTAGTGCTTTGCTACCTCAGTATGTAACTATCCAGGCACCATTAGCATGGACCTCAACCAGAAGCAGGTTAGAAATTCAGAATTCCAGGCCCATCCTCAGACCCATGGAATCAACCTTCACCTTAGTAAGATGCCTGGGTTCGAGAAGTTTTATCTTCTCATCTTTAGGGGAACAGCTCTTTCCTCTACTTTGTCAAATTAAGGAGTACTGTCCCTTTACACGACTTCACCTCTCAGGCCTCAGTGGCTTCTGGTTATTGGGTACAGTTAGAGCCCCTGACACTGGGTTTTTCTTCTCTGGTCTCGGGGCTGCCAAGGTCAGGTCCCGGTGGGCAAGGAAGAAAAAAAGCCAACACACAGAGGGTGGAAGTGAGTCTCTTTAGAACTGGTCTATTGGCCAGCATTTCTTGATTGCAAGCAGCTTAGATCTTTCTGTCCAAAGAGAAATTATTGCAGGATATCAGATTTTGACAGAATTGATAGAAGTCTGAAGAGCAAGGCTTGGAAATGGGTGCAAATTTGAGCCACTTTGTGGCCTAACAAGCAGGATAGACAAAAATGGTCTTATGGTGGAACAGTTTGCTCAGACAGAATGCTGGAGATGCAGGAATCCTGCCCTTCTGTCTTTTTCGTTTTATTCTGTTCCAGATTCAAGTTCCCAGGAGGGCTCATAGATTGGCCCAGCTGGAGACACAGCCCTGTTCCTTTGTTAGGAACGGGCCCTGCCAGACTGTATCTATCAGGGAAGAGGAAGCACCTCAGAAAGAAACTTGTGTGCTGTTAGGAAGGGGGCAGAAACTGTTAGGAAGGGGCCAATATCACTACTTCCCACTGTTTGATTATTGAGCCAATCGATCTACTTTATGTTTGTGTTAGTTTGCGTTGGTTTCTATGCCCTTACAGAGTCCCAGCTGACATATTCACCCTCTTTCTGAAACTCCTCCCTGAGCATCAAAAATACAGCAGTCTTTCGTTTTCCTTCTATTTTACAGGCCACAATTCTGCTTCCTACCTCCCTGCATTCTGTCTCCTTTCCTTCCTTTGAACTTCCTTTGTGCATTTCTCAAATTTGTTTCAAGCGCTCTCTTTCTCGATCTTACATATCAGCTTCCATTACAGATCCTTTTACACATCAGCTGTCTCCATGGCTTTGGGAGCCCCTGTCTCCCATATATCTTCTCTCCTTTGCTGGAGACCTGCATTTTTCAAATGGATGCTGGGATACAGATGACACAACCCACACCTCGATTTCAGCACACTTAAACCAGATTTCATCATCCTTCCCCTAAACATCCTCTGCCTTCCATGTTCCCTATTTTGAGTACTACGTTTGCTCTGTTTGTACCACCATCTTTCCCATCACAAGCTTAAAGTCTCCTTGGCTTTCTTCCTCTTGCCTGGCTCTCATAGTCAACCCATCACCGAGTATTATTGATTCTGTCTCCAGAACCTGTCTTTTATACTCTACTACCTCTGCTTTGGTAAAGGTCTCTATTACTTCTTGCCAAAGTCTTTTTTGCCTTGAGTTTACCCACATTGTTGCTGGTAATCAGCCATATTGAGATATTCTCAAAACCAGCCAATGGCTCCCCATTGCCTACAGAAGAAAGCTCAGATTTCTTGGTATGCATTAAGCCCTGGCCTCACCTGGCTTTCCATCCATGCTTTTCATTTTGACCTCCACTTCCGTCAAATACACCCACATCAGACTTGGCAGCATTTCTCACCTCTGCCTGTAGACTCTACCTTCCCATCTCTGGGCCTGTCGTTACACTGGGACTGTCGCTGGACTCTCATCCCCTAAAGTCTCATGCACACCTATGATCTCCATCTCTTGAAATTTTTACTGTCTGTGCTGAACCTGATTCTTTAAGTCAGTAGGATCGTCCTATGTACCCTTCACCCCATGACCTGTAAAACTTAGCAAAAAATACAAGCCAGGGATCCATGGGTCACCTGGAAGCCTTGGTTGTTCCTGAGCTTTTTGTGGCTGGATTCCCTCTCACCTGGTCTGGGCTCTAGGCTCAGGGACACTGAGAGTCTCTGGCCTTGGCTCCTCCAGGCTTAGGGATCTGCTTGTGCTCCTGCAGCGCTGTGGTCCATAGGGCCTCTGTTTTTCTACCCCTTTGACTCACAGCTTCTCAGTGTCCCTGCCTTCTGTGATCTCAAATAGGAACTCTCTGCCTTGGCCTCAATCCAGACGAACCTGTCATCATGAACGGCATCTGTCCAAGCCACTTGGCTCCTCTTTCCTGAAGCCTTCCCTGGTTTCTCCAGTGGTAATTAATCTCCGACTCTGCCCTCACTTAGCAATTGGCACAGGCTCAGTTATGGTCCTTACTGATTGTTGCCTTCTGGGAGTCCCCGCCTCATCCATTGCACTCCAGGGGCTTCCTGGGCAGGGCCTTTGCCTTCCAAAACCCCTGACACTGAGCACTCCAGCAGAGTAGGAGCTCCCCTGCTGTTTGCATAACGTCCTGGAATCTTTGCTGCAACTCCAGCAGGTTCACTGGACTGGCCAGCCAGACCTGGAGAAGCCCTACCTGTATTTAACAAGCTTCCTCTTTCCTATGAGGAGACTGAGACACACGGAGGTATCCTGTTCCTGAGACTGCTCTAGAACAATAATATTTAAATAAGCACATTTGCGGGAAAGTAGAGGTGGGAAGGGGGACACGTTCAGTCCATAACAGAAGATGTCAGCTTTTGCATCTACAAGCTTCAGAGAACAGAGCTTGGGTCTTTCTGTGCCTAAGTAATTCAATGGAGTAAATGCTGCCATCCGAGGGAGAGAAAATGAAGCCTGGAATGCTAAGTACTAATGCTGATGGCTGGATACTCAGCCAGGCACTGTGTCTTTAAGAAAGATGAAGGCACATCTCTGGGGGTGGAGCCTGGCTCAAATAGCCAGGTGCTTGGAAGTTGTTAGGGCCTGCTTTTGTTGAGAGTAGGGCTTTGCGGTTCTGGTTTGCAGTTCTGGCACCACTCCGGCCCTGCTCCCTTACTTCTCTCTGCCACACGACTCAGCTTTGGCACCCGGTGAGCATCCCTCCCACCCACACACCCACGAGCTCTCTGTGCCGGCTTTCCAAGCCCAGATTTGACAGCTATCATTTTCAAACTCTTCTGGCCTTTCTTCTTTTCAAGTTCAGACTCTTCTTTGGTTAAGATAAGCTTCTCCACATTTTCCCTTTCCTATCTGTCAGCCTGTGCTGGGGGAAGCAGCTGAAAATGAGGAAGAAGCCTGGTTGTCCGGGGTGAGGATGAGGCCACCCAGTTTGCTGGCTGAGCGAGTGTTTCAAAGTGGCTGTGTGTGTGTGTGTGTGTGTGATGCCTGAATTGATGACACTGGAGAGAGCGTCAAGGTCCCCTACGCCTCCAACACCTACACAGTCTTCCAGGTGTACACGGCAGGCACTCAACAACTGGCAAAGGTTAAGAAATGCAGTAATGGAAGGAGGGCTGGCCTGGGAAATTAAGATGCTTGCGTTCTGAGTCCAGCTCCACCTGGATGGAGATTTTAACAGCGCTTTAGCCTCTCCAGGTGTCCATTTTCATAAAAAAGGCAAACATTTCCATTCTCACCTCTTACTGTAGCTGAAAGACAAATTAGATAATGGATGAGACATTTTCCTGCAATGATCAGAATGCAGAACCAGGTCAGTGGAAGTTACAAGGAGGCAGATTTCAGATCGAAATCAGGAAGACATTTCCATTAACCAAAGTCCTAGGTTTCCTAATCAAGCAGAGAGCTTTCTGTCCCGGGAACTACTCAAGCCAGACGGGATGATCCTCTGACAGTCATCCACATGAGGGGTCTGAGCCTAGGCAGGGAGGTCGGTCCCTTTGAAATGTGAAGGTCTATATTTTGGTGGTGCTTTCTGTCCTGGGAACTACTCAAGCCAGATGGGATGATCCTCTGACAGTCATCCACATGAGGGAGACTGAGCCTAGGCAGGGAGGTCCCTTTGAAATGTGAAGGTCTATATTTTGGTGGCTATAGATGGGCTTTTGAGAAGAACCTATGTAAGGCTATAAGTATGCTGGCATTTCTGCATATTTTCCAGAAGCCTGGCCAGCTCCAGGGACTGGAGATGGGTATTGAAAGCCAGAGGAGAGCAGACAACCTGGACGTCCCTCAATGGCCTTGCGTTTCCAGCAGCCCAATTTGGGGCAGGGAGGTGCGGGTGGGTAGAGAGCTGAAGGACGCCGTTCAGGAAACCACGAACGCAAAATATAACTGCTTTGGAACTTAAGATGTGTGGCTTGGGGTGGGGGGAACCCTACTTTACACCCCTGCTTGGGACCCACCCCATTCTGGTGCCCCAAGGACTGGACATATTGGGATCATCTGAGAGCCCGGGGTGCTGATATGCCCCTGGCGGGCGCCGGCAGGTGGAGGTGGGGCCGGGGCAGAGGAGGAGCCAAGATGCCCGCCTCACAGAGAGATTTGGACCCTGCGTGAGGTAGGAAAAGGGAGAGAAAAAGCACAGCCTCCTCTGGGGGAAAGCGTGTAACCGGAGGGGAACATGTGTCTGGTGTAGTCAGTTCTTGTGGGAGACAGAACCCTGTCTATAGACCGAGGAGGAGGAGCTCCCAGAAAAGCAGAAGCTGAACACTTAGGAGAAAGGAGATAATTAACGGATCAAAGACTGGGGTGGGCGGAGTTAGGGATCTAAAAAGCTGTGAAGGGATTTTTCTTAAAGAGAAGGGGAGAGGGGAAGGCAGGAAGGAGGTTGAAGCCCACCCAGGCGGCCTTTATTCCACCCATGAAAAGCGAGGGAAAGGCCCCCTCACCGCCCCCTCTGCGGGTGAGGGAACTTGAGGAAGGGGGACGGAAGGTCTGCCGTGGGGGCGGGAGAGAGATCCTGCGCAGGGACCAGGGTCCTCCAGACAAAGAAGTGCTTACCGTCACCACAGCCAGCTGTGAGCCTCCTCTGAGGGTAGAGGGGACAGCCATGGAAAAGGCCCAAGAGTCCCCAGGTGGGACTGGTGAGTTTAGACATTCACCTACTGCATTGAGGGGTGGTGTTGGCTGCAGGACAGGGCAAATTTCCCCAAGCTGGGGTGGGGGAGGGGGAGAGACTAAGCCCAGCACGAGAGAAGAGGATCCTTTAGCAGAGAGTGTAGAAAGAATTCAACTCACACGCTAAAGTTAGAGTCAAAAGGAAAGTTTATTAGAGAAGGGGTAACACTCCATAGACAGCGTGGTCTTCTCTCAGAGGCAGAGAGAGAGACCCTGAGTGTTAGGGAATTCAGTTTATATGTCATTCTTTAGTCCCATTTCCTGAGATGTGGACATGCGGCGAGGAAGGGGAAGGTAGCCTGAGAGGCCGACTGGCAGTTCCCAGCCTTAAATCCCTGGGTTCCTCTTGGTTTTAGCCATTGGGAATGAACGATTTTATTCATGTAGGGCAGCCACTTGCAGACTCTATTGGTTCCTTTTTCCCCTTCCACAGGTGTGGAAAATGGGTTGTTAACAATCCCATTAAAAATCTTCCTTTGTTCTGTAGGTGTCCTCCTGGCCTGGCTGCAGGGCTGATCAACATACTGCAGTCTCTGAATGTAGCTTGATTAACATTTCATTCTCTTGTCTCCTCCCTGCATTAGTGTGAACCCCTAAGAGGCCCAATTCTGGCTCTGTTCCCTTTGCTCTAATGATAGGATGTTGGGCAAAGCTAGAAACCTATGGGATTTCCACTGTCTGTTGGATGGAGCCAGTAGAAACTCATTCACCAGGCTTAGGAGTTGAAGAAGGTGGGGAAAGCTGGCTACAGACACACTTGCTTTGGGGAAAAGCAGAGTATGTTATTAATGGCACCACCCACTCTGTGGGATAGCAGATACTCAAGGCAAAGCAAGTTCTCAAGTCCCATCAGATCGTTTCCTTGGGACATGTGTCCTGTGAAAAATGATGAGGGATTGGTACCGAGGATATAGGAGCCCAGCCTGACTCTGCCTCTGAAAGCTGTGGGACTTTGCTTAGGTCATTGGCCTCAGTTTCCCTTCTTCTCCAGGTATATTTCTGGCCAGTTAGGACAGAGGGCAGCTCCACGTCGTCTAGCGAGGGAGCGGCTTCATAGGAGCTAGGTCTTTCCAAGTAGAGCACGAAGAGTCTAGAGTGAGGCTCTTATCTCCTCTCTCCCCGCCCCAACCAATAAAGCACAAATATTCCATAGTCTAGTGCGCCCATGCAGCTGTCACAACTTAGCCTCCCACCCACCCCTTGTCACATGCTTCAGTCCCTGCACCATCTTCTGTTGCTGCTGTTCCCAGCTCAGCTCCCTGGGCAGCTCTGTGGCCAGCACAGCATAGGCTGTGCTCATGGATGTGGTGTCTGAACCCAGAACAGAACCAGAGCCGCCCTGGCTAACTGGCTGGAGGCAGCTCATTCTCTGCCCCCTGCAGGGATCTGGGATTGATTTACCCTGTTTCCGTGGCAGCGCTGGTTGCAGTGGCAGCATCTGCTTCCCCACGTGGCTGAGTGAGTCACCATCACTCACATTAACCCTTAGCACAGCACAACCCTGCTGGGACCAGCAGGAAGATGCCAGAGTGCTTTGCACTGCCTGGTGGCTTCCTGCCCCGGTTCTCAGGCCTGGTACAGATAGTGCATTAGGCATAGGGCCTTGGGCTGGGCTTGCCCTCCCAGAAACCCAGCAGCATCTAGATATTAGAGCTGTTAGATCTGCTTCAACTGGCTTCGGAATGGCTCATCTTGGCTGCTGGCAGCAGCTGCAAGGCCTTATGGGAAAGGACTGCAGGTTTTTGGACTCCAAGTTCAGAGCTCTTTTCACTATCCAAAGAACGGCTCTCAAACTTGTCTTTTCCTGGCCGCCTCTGCATCCATGTTCACCCCAGGTTTCTTTTGGCTTTTATCCCAGGACCTTCTTTTGTGATACCCTTCAGCCCTCCCCTTTGGGAAGCAGCCCTCGAAAAGGATTTTTTTTTTTCCCCAGCTGTCCTTTTCTCTCTGGAAACTACCTTTCCTCCATCCTTTCCCCACCTTCTGATCTGGGTAATTTGAAAAAATGAGTTCGTCCTCTGTCATTAATGGCAGATAGCAGGTTATAGTGCTAATCTCTGGTATTGCATTTAACCCTGACTTTGAGAGGCAAAGAATCAGTCTAAGGCAATGGTTTCTCAAAATATAGTCCCTGGGCCAGCAATATCAGCATCACCCAGGAGCTTGTTAGCAATGCCAATTCTCAGGCCCCACCCCCAACCCAGACACATCGTGGAGTCACAACCTCTGGAGGTGAGGGCTGGTAATTTGTGTTTGAACAAGTCTTCCAGGCAGTTGAAGAACCCCTGGTCTGAGGAAATGGATCTGTGCCAGTGTATTTCCTACCCTGTGCGGAATGGAGAGTGTTGGTCCATACCTCTGTCTACACTCGCAGCACAGCTACAAGTGTCTTTCTGTTTTATGTAAGCCACACTGGGGGGCTTAAGTAAGCAAAGACCCCAACTGCTCCAAATCTGGGGACCTGGAGTTTTCCTAGATCATATCCTTTCTCTAGGATGTTTGCATCACATGGAAAGAAGCTGGTGTGTTGTTTTCCTGTGTGGAAAGGGCAGCATTACCTCACCTACCACAGAGAGGGCCTTGTGGGTAAAAGGAAACCCACCCACTGGAAACGACCGATCCTGCCGCTGTGGCCAGGCCCCGGGCCACAGGAGCACATTCCCTAATAGCTGAGGAATTCCAGCAGAGGAAAAAGGCACTGCTAATACTTATTAATCAGTTATGATTACTAATGGCTCTTTTTTACTGATTAGTTCTTTTGTACTGATTAGGTTTTTTTTACTGATCACCTTTGTGCTGGGCCCCAAGGAACTTACAAGAAGGTGAGAGCATTAGTCAGAATAGATTAAGCTATGGCAAATAGCAGACAAACCCCAAAGTCTCACTGGCTTAGCATAGCAAAGGCTTATCTTGCAAATGCTTTATGTCCAGCGAGGGTCAGCTCTGCTCTGCTCTACAGAATCACTCAGAGGCTCTGGGTGATAGAGAATCCACATCCTGTAGAATCCACAGT